CCTATGAAGCGGTATATAAGTCTAACTGCTATTGCTATTGCTATTAAATGCTGCATCTTCTGGGACCAAAGAAATGTCACGGCCCTTGCGCTCTGGAACAGCATTCCCTCAGAGATACAAAAAGCACCCTTTTTATATTGCCCAGGATTCTAAAAAGCACTGAAGATCTGGCCTTGGTCTTAGGCCTGGTTTTGATGTAATTGCAGGACCCCCTCAATTAGCTTGATTTGTTATGGTTTCATTGTTTTGCTCTCAACTACCTGTGAAATGGAAAGCTTTAAACTTTTTTTTAAAAAAAATTGTATTTGTAAACCACTTAGAATCTAAGGGTGAGGGTGGCTATAATAAATTTAAAATAACAACATCAATATAAGTGAAGGAAAACAGTGGTTTTTTTAAAGGTTAATCAGGAAATACCAGAGATTGAGTCAAGACATTCTGCCTGCCCCACATCACTCAATGGGAGCCCAAGGACTGCATTCAGTTAATGCTGGTAAATATAAACTGATCTGAACATACTGTTAGGCAAGAAATGGGTATTTTAAAAGAAATAGCAATATTAAAGAGGAAGATGAAAAACTTAATTTCATCTGATAGTCTCCTAAATGTGAATAAATCCCAAGCTCTTCACAGCAATGAGTTGTTTGAAGGGCTTCTTCCAAATTAAGAAGAAAAGAAAGCATTCATTTCAGAATATTATGCAACTATAAATCAAAATTCCAAGCACTGGACAAAGGCCCATTAAGTTGTGCACTTGAGTAATTTTTTTTTTCCTGTATGGATGCCACTGTTCAGTGCCTAGAAGAATGGGTGATGAAGTCTCTACTGGAATTGAATGTTCTATTCAGAAGTGGATTTTTAAAATAGCCAGGCTGTGCATATTAACAACTGGAAGAGGAAAAAAAAGGAAGAAGAAATTGAAGAACAAAGACATATCACATGTCCTGCAAGTAATGTGTTTCGAGAGCCTTTTAAGACTGCTAATTTGTTTCTAAAGATAACATCACACTTAACCCGGAATCTGAGGTTAACAATCAATACTTGATTGTTCTCCAACCTATCGTTTTTTAAAAAAATTATTCTGTTCCTTCTGGGGACTGAGCCACCTGACTTCACAGTTGGTGCCATTTTACTCCTTCAGTGACTGTAAGGAACATTTGTTGGAAAGCAGCTGCATCTGAAGACATCTAGAATTCAGTTTTATTGTCAGGTATTGTCCAATTTACTCCTTCCACTAACCAGAAATCCAAGCAGCAGCAAAGCTTCCTAGAGTGTCTAAACAGAACATCTGATCTGCAGGTTCCCTAAAAAGAATAAGAGTTTGAATGTTGGTTTCCTGAGCCTACAGGAAACCAAGTTGTATAAGAGCTCAAGCTCTCAGGGTGCATAAATAGGAGTTGGTAATGAATTTACCCCTACACGAGAGTGACTTCAAATCTTCCTTTTGTATAATAACATTAACATTGAAAAATTACGTTTGGTACCGAAATGGAGCTGATGTATTCAGAAGTGTGTGTGTTTAAGCAATTTCCGGAATCACCATTTTGTGGGTGGAAGGCAATTGCAAGAAGTTGGAAGTACTACTGTTTTCAGAGCCTGCTTTATTTAACTCAGATTTAAAGTTTAACATATTGTGTGAACCCACTCACAGTCATCTTCTGAATGTGAACTCTCAATAGGTTAAATCAAAGAGTATATCTGGTCCTTTGTCAACAACGGTAGATAATTCTAAAATGGCGTCGTCTTCCTTGGCTGCGTCTAGTTTGGCTCTTAAGAGTTTGGGGGTTTTGGAGATGAAAATGCCATCTATTTATTCTTTGGGAATTGTGACAAGAAAGCTGAAATCTATTACTAAACTGTTATATGACAATAATTCTATATTGGACTGATGATGTTTAGCAAGAGAGCAAGATCCTTTTGTTACATGATCTGTTAACTGATCAACCTTATGCTGAACAAATACTGAAATTCTTATTCAGAATTATCCATGGGAAGAAGAAGCCACGATTTTTAAAAGTATGTACAGAAACCTGTAATGAAGTGGGAAGGAAAATTGAGAACGTGGGGATATATACATGCTAATTAAACCTGTAATGAAGCAGGAAGGAAAATTGAGAACGTAGGACAGAGATATATGCACGCTAATTAAAACAAGGAAAGACATGAGAACAGTAAAAAACAGATAGTTTTTACAGATTCTTAAGTAGAACATAAAATAACATTCCAGAGTATTGTTATTCATTACTGTCATTTAAAAACTTGTTGCAGTTCTGTTGGAAGAGCCATTTAATTTTAATTGGTTTGCATTGTAAATGACTCACCCTCAGCATAATACTAGGAAAAAAAATGCAGTAATTCAAGTACGGGTACTCCCTACTTTGGTCCACCCAAATTTCCAAGGAAATTTGGAGTAAAATTGTAAAAACAAATAATTTACAACTGAATATCTGCCTCCCAAGAGGAAACTGAAGTATACAGTGATAAATTTCCATCTGTAGAATAGGGGGGGGGGGGAATCTACCAGTATCAGAATTATTATGAAGAATGAATATTTTGGAATACAGAATCACAGACAATCATATGAATTGATATGTTTTTAATCATATTTTAAGAAAATTAGAAACAAAATCTGACTAGCCACTCCCTACCCATCCAAACAGAGCTGCAGGGAGAGTAGCTTAAGGTAGGCCATTTGGGCTTCCTTCTTGGAGAGTTGCTTGGAGACTGTTTATCCTACATCAGTGTTTCTCAACCTTGGCCACTTGAAGATGTCTGGACTTCAACTCCCAGAATTCCCCAGCCAGCATTCGCATTCCAGACATCTTCAAGTGGCCAAGGTTGAGAAACACTGTCCTACATGCTGTAGGGAAGGAGTGTCAAACTCAATTTCATTGCAGGCTGTATCAGTGTTTTGGTTGACCTTGGGGTGGGGTGGGGAAGTGGGCATGGCCAGGTTGGATGTGGCCAGCTCAATGTCGCTTGTGTCAGGGGCCCTTGTGGTGGCGTGAGTTCTTGCGGCCCTCCACAGCTCCCTTTTTGCTGGCAGAGGCATTGCGGGCCGGTTCCTTCGCTGTTTCCAGGGTAGCCTGGCGGGCCAGATCTTATCACTCTCGGACCAAATCCAGCCCATGAGTCTTGAGTTTGACACCCCTGCTGTAGGGGTAAATGCTATGCCATAGACATATACTGAGTTTGTCACATAATCCCATTGAAAGGAAATGTCTACTTACTGGTACTCGGAAAGGTGATGTATTTGATGTATCTGTGGGATTGCTTGTTCCAGAGATGCTCCGTCTTCGTGGAGATGTCTCTGGTGGAACCTCTGAGATAGGACGAGGAAAATAAATAATGGAGAAAATAAGTTTTTCTTTAAATAGAAACATCCTTCCCACTCCCTATGCAAATCTTTTAATATAATGATTTTATTATATCAAATAATAAAACTATCCATGTATAATGTAGTTAATAATGTAATATAAAGTTACAAGAAATTTGGGGAAATTATATTAGAGCTAAAACAATCCCCAAAATATTAAACAACCTGGTTAGAAGTCTCTTTTATTCTATTCATTTTGCTCCTTTTGTATAATAAAGAATTCAAATTGATCAAGCAATCAAATATAGATTTATTTATCAAGGGTCTCTAATAATTCTGTTGGCTATTCTTCATGCAGAAAATCTATCATTCCTGATGTCAGGATTGATTTCAAATAAAGAGGATAAGATAGCCTGCAAAACTCACTCGCCCTCCTTTTATTTCACAGTACAATATCACAGTCCAAAACCTATCTCAGTTTTTCATTCAGTATTTAAGAATTTAGTAACTCAGCATTATAAAATAATCATTTAGAGTGTTATTTAACAATATTATTAAAAATATAGTAAAATATTATTTAATTAGTAGTTCAGTAACTTCACTTTAGTTGTAAGCATGTTATGTATTCCCTTTTTACTCTTTTAAATTGAACTTTTCCATTTTAACTTATTCTATATAATTTGTTTAGAAATTCATCTTTTATTTTTTCCTGAACTATAGTATATATTCCAAGACGGCCTGGTTTTCTCCCAGAACATGTCTACAATTCTCCCAAACTCCTCCATCTGCCATGGAGTGGGCTAATGCAAACATTTAAGTGTTGGCTCATCAAACTGAAATTCCTACAAGAGGAAGTGATGGGCAGTTCCCTTGAAAGTTTTGTAGATACTGCTTCAAATTTCACCAAAATATAGCATTTAAAAACATACTGCCTAGAGGTAGTCTTACAACAGTTCATTTCGTGATTGTTTGAAGTTACAGTGAGACTGAAAAAAGTGATGCATGACTGCTTTTCACACTTACAACTGTTGTAGCATCCCCGTGGCCACCTGATCAAAATTCAGATGCTTGGCAACTGACTCATACTTATGGCAGTCGCAATGTCCCAGGGTCATGCGATCAACTTTTGCAATCTTCCGATAAGCAAAATCAATGGGAAAGTCATATTATCTTAACAACCCCGTTCCTAACTTCCTAACAGCAGTGATTAACTTAACAATTGTGACAAGAAAGGTTGTAAAATGGGGCAAAACTCATTTAAAAAAATGCTTTATTTAGCAACAAAATTTTTAGGCTCAATTGTGCTTATAAGTCGACGACTACCTGTATTTAGATCCAGGGGCAGGAAATTTTTATTTTAACCAAATTTCAAAAAAAGGAAACATATTTACATCTGGTGCCCTGTAAAACTTTGGTTAAAAATTCAAATCTGGTTTCAGCTATGGACTTTATAAATGTCAGAATTTCTTTTCCAGCTCAAAGATTTTGAAGGTTCCTCTTAGCTATCTAGTTCTGCATTACTTTGAAGGAATTTCTAATTCTTAATGCCTATGTGTTGGATACAGAACATAAGTTTGGTTTCATGGTTAAAGCCGATGCTCAACATGAATCACAATAATAGCAAGGCTAGACTTCCATAAGGCAATTCCCCTCTTCATGGCAAAAATGGTGACTCCAGGTTCTCACAGTTTTCATCAGAATGATGGAAGCATATCTGTCCTTTTTAGATAACATCTCAATATATGTAAAACAACAACAACAACAACGGATCTTGTGTGATAGCCCAATATTGCTGCACATATACACACCCTTCACATATGTCAATGCATTGATTCCTCTGTTTCCTACAGCCTCATCTGTGACCTTGAGCAAATTTCATAGGTAATCCCATCAGGGACCCATACCTCACACATCAATTCGGTTTTTGACCAGTTAGGAAGTATCATCTTGCAAAAATGCCTGTCTTGATTCTTTCCTCTTAGATATGCCACAATCCTGCTTTAGCTCACCTTCCAGTTTCTGGACTCTGGACTCTAATTAATGACAAATGCTGTTGCTATGTGCTGAATTTGGATGGTAGCAAAGTGCGTGTCTTTATTCCAATTCAGATGTAATCATATATCAGAGAGAGATTTGTCTTATATTTGCTATTTTGTTTATTCAGGAATTCGTAATTCGTAATTTAATAAGCTTATATGCNGTAAGAAATGAAGGCGTGTGGGTGGGCCCAATGGAAACACTGTTCCAGTACAGTGGCAACTGCTCCCAGCTGCCACCAGTACACCCATACCGTACCGTACCGCCTGGAACCCACCACTGCTGTGCATGCTTTGGGCACTCAGTCCAGTGAGCCATCGCAGCTATATGACATAAAATATACCATTAAAATAGATCTTGCCCAGAAACTAGCAACATTAATTGCATTCTGTTGTGCTACTATGATGTCCTCAAGTGTACACTGATCAGGGTGCAAAGGGCAGGTGTGCATAAGTGTTCTCCATGTCACCACAATTGCAAAGGGCAGAAGCCACTGGATAGCCCCATTTGTTCAGTGTGTCTCTTGATTTTTTTGTACCTGTGCACAGTCTATTCAATAATTTCCAGCTTTTGCCAGACTCAGGTGCTAGGTCCTTTGTTGATTCTATCCAATGTTGGTTCTTTGTAGCCTTCCATAGGTCCAATCTGCTTTCAAATTCTTCAAAATCTTCTGTTGACTTAAGGAAGCTTTTCCTGGATTTTTTTTAATCTCTGATGACTTGATTGAGGGCCATAAAGAGGATGTTGTTTAGATATAAATGATTTAAGCCTCTCTCTGTATGCTTGCTACTTTGAAGTTAAATGCAGGTAATACTTTTTGTGGGGGTAACAGAGCCCTGAGCTTGGCATATTTCATTAATACTTATGTTTATCCTGATGTCTTTTATATATTTCTTATAACAGCAAATAGAATGATATCAAGTGATCCCTTCCAGTCCATTTTGATCCACCAATTCTCTGAATGTTAATCATCAATTTATTTCAATGCTGAGAATATCAATTCTGATAGTCCTTCCCTACCTCGCTCCCTCCCTTTCACCCTCCCTCCTTCCCTCTCTTTCTCTCTTTGCAGCATCAAACTTCCTTTTCTTTTTTCCTTTTGCCTGTGATCATTGGTGCCTGCTTTTGGCTATTTCATAAATACCAGTGATACATATGCTCCTGTCTGGTCTTTCCTAATAGCATATTAGATGTCATACAATCTGATTGGTCTGTCTTCTATTATGTCAGTATTGACATTATTGTAAATATGCATTTGATTTTTTTGTCAAACTACAGGAATGCATTGCATTTTTTCTTCTCTAATGATCATTGTTTAACTTCTTATCTATAACCCAATCATGGAAAACTGCTCTGGGAGTGCAAACGTCCAACCCTTCCTTCAGAATTGGAACCACCTTCAGCACTACATATCAATGATCCATGGCAGGATATTACCAAATGAGAAAACCTCATTTGGAGTACGAATCCTATTAGCAGGAAGTACGATCTTTGCAGCATTTCCCCATTATTCATCAAAATGCCTCCTATTATATTTTGTCAATTTGCCCCCCCCCAAAAAAATAGAATACCTTCTTCTACTTTTGTAAAGGAACACTTGTGTCTAGCACTTAAGTTATCGTTAGATACCATTCACGAAAGTTTATTCAATTTTATGTCAGAGCAATTGGTGGTGGTAAAGATATTCTTTCAAAATTGCTAACAGCATAAATAGAACTTTGAAATACCAGTGCCTAAATCTTTTCTTTCTTTCTTAATGATTCTTACAATGGTGAAACTGGTTATTTATTATGTCACACTGATCAGATACTCAAAATACACCTAAGGTGCCCATACACTTGTTTTTAACCTGAATATGTGCATGACCAGCTTTTAGCTAAAAAAAAAAAGCAAGATTATGCAACAAACATGTGCGTGCGTGCACGCGCGCGCACACACACACACACACACACACACACACACACACCTTGGGAAAGAAAATACCACCAACTTTAATTTATTAATCAAGGATAACCATACCTATTCTGTTACCTTCCAGATAAACTGGATTACAATGCTAATTGTCTCACGTGAACAAGCCCTATAGTCTAACCCATCTGGAAATAATATGTTGAGGAAGACTGGGCTAAGAAGAGAATTTAAGAGGTATTTATTATTTATTAACATGGTGTAGTGTTTCAGAAATAATTTGTAAAACGACCTTCAGAGAAGGCAGAAATTGAACATCTGCAGCTCTTTAACCCAGGGGCATAGCTGCTGTCTGCAATCTGTGACATGAGCCCATGAAAAGAGTCAGTTGCTTTAAAGAAATTGCAGACAGGTGCCATGTTCCTGCATCCATATACTATGAAGCACATATTTGAAATCATCTTCAAACATTGCACAGCACCTAAAATTTATGCATGATGTCAGAATACCAAGCTTGGTTATGATCCCCTCTCGGCAATGTGCTCACTGGAGAGGCAGGGTCGTGGGGGAGAGGAAGGATATTCATTGAAGCTTATGAAAGTGGTAAGATTATGTTGGTTGTGTTTTAAAGAAAAGCACATCCCTAATCAGAACAGGAATAATGAGTCAAATCAGAAAACACAGTAATTTCAGTGAGTTGTAAGTGAGTTTAAAATCAGAAACTAAAATTATCCTTATAATGATCAGAAAGTTACAATCTTTAACAACCTCAATTTGTGTATGAAAATGTACACGTTTCCCAAAAGCTGCATAGGAATTTCATACTCTGTTTATGTTAAAAGGAAAGAAATGTGAAAGTAATCATGTAAATTGAATGATAATAAGAAGCCTTTTATATTTTTAGACTAATTACAAATGAATAATTTAAAATGTATTGAGCCAAATATTTTATTAACATAAAAGTTAATGGTATATGTTTACAAGATCTGATTTTCAAATTTTGTCATGAGACATCATCATCATCATAATCAGCTTGTGTTGTATGTGATGTGCCATTTATGCATGTGATTTTCAGATGTATTTTCTGCAACAACTAGTCTAGATGCTTTACCCTAAATCATACTCATGAATAACTATTACTTCTTCTTTAAATATACTCTTAGTTTGATATCCATTTCTGAATTGAAAACATGAAGTTCCAAACAGTGATAGCT